ACTTAATAGTTTCCATGTTGAATGAAAATCCCCACAGCTGGTGGAAGGGTATCATATTGAATCCAGTTTTAAAAGAAAGATTAATCACCCAATTACTGGTAATATCAAAACCACGCCTTTCTCGAATTTCTGGATGCAGCTCATACGCCCGCCAAGTGTTACCGACTGCCGCAATGCCCATGGTTGTACCGATGTAGGCGTAGTACATTTCTCCCATATTAGACCAATCCGGGTATGTTCCATTGCTGTTCCACCAGTTAACAATGGCATCCAGTCGACTCATCACAATGCCCTTGCCCAATTCGAACTGCGACATATTTAGGACGTAGTTGTAGGCCACAAGGCACATGATATTGTTTGTTACCTCTAGACATTGTTCAAGCATATGCCTGTCAAAAAAATATAATAATATCATGATAGACAAATTTATTTTGTAATTGTAAAAAATTCCTAATTAAAAAACAGACTCTTAGGTTAAAGTCTCATACAGTATTGTGTCATACAAAACTACATTTCATATCTTACACCTATAACCTATAAAAATCTACATTGGTCAGGGATTAACTTATAATTATCAGTCAAATTCGCAACTTGGTCATATTGGTAAGAAGAAACAGAGGGACGCACATAGTCCGAAGTCCATTGTATGCATGATAACTTCTAAAGTTGGACCGTGGACGTGGTACATTCCCAGACAGTTCTCCGGCATCGTAGTCGGCATCGTCAGTGAGTCAATCGGGAGCTACTGGTTTCTGAGGCCTGTAACGACATCACTGTCGCCTTGACATGCTAATCGGCAAGTATGCTTGACTCTTGCAGATAAAGTTGGCTCCAGAGGCGTTTTCCAAAATAGTCCAGCTATTTGACTATAAGTTAACCATCAGGTACTTCTGGCTCTTGAAGTTTTAGACATTTTTGTTAATTATAATAACTCATGCCTTGCATTATCTGACATCCTCCATTTTAGTTAGTTAAGATTCGTCCTTTGTTCCAAGCTCATAAACTGATACGGACATATATTTACAACAACTTTCCAGAATTCTCAAGCATTATGTTGTCTAGAGCTAGTGAACATTCGTTTTGTTTTATAGAATGCTCCTAATTACGCTAAACTTTCATGTTAACCACTGCTATAAAATTGTAACTTATATGAGCTTATGACATATCATTTGTTGAAGTGGCACTGGGGTTAAATATACCTTCATCTGATAGATGTTGCGCTGTAATTCACGAACCAAGGAATATTCCTTGAAACTTGTATATTTTATGCATGAATTAGAATATGAGAGACAAAGCGAGCTAGCTAATGTATGCTAAGATATGATGTCTAAATGACAGCTTTATATCTTGGCCATTAATCTTCCTCAGTATAGCGTAACAATGAACCTAATTACGAGATCTAAGGAGAGCTCGGTTAAATGAGACATGGTCAAATTAAGTACAAATTCAATAAATTAACAAGAATTTGAGAGTGACAACTTTCTTATTTTACTACTTTGTTGAATTTTCGTAGACATTCATTTCTGAATATCACGTAGATTTTCATAGCGTAATAAATAAAAGCTCAGTAGAGCTTCACCGAAGTCAAAATAAATGAGCTGATGGCTTCTTTGTACAGTCCTTAATCAACAATCCAAGTCAATCTCCCGTCGGCTTCCGACGGGAGCTTACATAGCTTAGATGTAAGCCATGTAAGTTCGAAAGAAACTATTGGTCCTACATA